TTGTAATGATAATGATGAATAAAATTTAAATGATGGGAACCAGTTGATTGTCGCAATCCATACCAACATCTCCAAGTGTGTGTGTGTGTGTGTGTGTGTGTGTGTGTGTGTGTGATCGTAACTGAGAAACATGATGTACATTTTTGATTTGTGTATGTGTGTGTGTGTGTGTTTGCATATGAAGACGTATTCAAATTATCAAGGAAAAAAACTTTCTAATTTCTTCAGTGGCACCCGTTTTTCGTTTAAGAATGAAAATATATTTTTATAAATCAGTTATACAGGTTGTCATGTGTATGAGTACCATCATCATCATCATCATGTGATCATGGTGTGTGTGTGTTTTGGAACTTTCATCTTTATTAATTTCCATTTATCATTATGTTTTTTTTCCCAGTTGACAGTCATAAACAAAATTATAATTGTGGACAACAAACATTAATTTCATTTTTTTCCATATGAAAAGTGAAATAATGTTTGCAGCCATGAATGGATTCTAACCACTGTCCAATTGATAGATAATTAAGGATTTTTTTTTGGTTGAAAAGTCTTTCGAAAAAAAAATAAAATTTTTGTTTTGTCATCAAATGGTGTGGATTGGTATAAAAATTTTCGTTTTGTTTTCATTTTACTCATCTAGTGGCAATTGCATTTTATTATTATTTTCAATTGTAAATGGTAAAATTAACCATTGTATAATGTATCCACCCGTATTAACGAAGAAGAAGAAAAAAAAAATTCACTCACCCAAATCTTATTTTAGCATCAGTTTTATTTCATTTCATTTTAGATTCATTCATCATTGTCATTCTGTTTCATTTATGTTTTGTTGTTGTTGTTGTTGTTGTTGTCAATATCTGAATTAGAAATAAATAAATGGCTAAAAGCACAAACGAATCGTATTTGTATGATATCCACTCTATTTTATCGGAATTTTTGTATACTATGAGAATCAGAACAACAACAACAACAACAGCGATTTCTGTCTTATTCAGGTAATGTAATGTATGCTCGTCAGTTATAAAGATGAGAAATGAAAATGATGAAGATTTTTTTGTCTGTCTGTCGTTTTTTTCCATTCATTTCATTCGTCAACTTTATTATTAAATTTAAACAAACAAACAAACATTATGAATCTTTGTTGAATTGGATAATTTTGTACTCCCAAAACACACACACACACACACACACACAAAAGAGGAAAAATGATTTAATTTTGTTCCTAATAAATTGTTCAAAAGTAAAGTAACATCACCATTAATTGTATGTGAAATTTTACAATAATGAAATAAAAGTGGATATATATAATGTGCTGAAACTCATTGTTGATGTGTGACAATTTTCTTTCTTTATTTTATTTTTTTTGACTTCTTAAATCCTAACTGCTATATTTATGACATATTTAGATCATCATAATAATAATAATAAAATCAGCACAAATGTCAAAAAAAAACAGGTAAACAGGAGAAAAGAAAAATTTTAAAGTAAACAAACAATTGTTGCATATATATATCAAAGATGGTAGCAAAAAAAAAAAAAATATAATCCACAATGTACGAATGAAATTTTAAAAAAAAAATCATTTGACAGGATATATTATATTATTCCGTTTTTTTTTCATAATTCATTTATTCAGTCATTCTTTGTGAAAAAAAAGAATGAAAAATTATTTGTTTGACATATCCAACAATCAAATTCTATGAATGAATTGAGTTGAATTGTTATTGTTATCATTGTTGTTGTTGTTGTTGTTGTCATTTTTTTTGTTGTGTATCGATAATTATTTTATTCTTTATAAATTCATATATAAAACACATATGATAAGTTATTAATAGAATGAATAAAAAAATTTTTTTTTCTTCTAATGATAATGATAATGATGATGATGATCAAATCAACATTGTCTTCATGGTTAATGGCCACAACAATAATGGATATGACACATCTATATTTGAAAAAAAAGCTGGTTTGATGGAGATACAACAGAAACCATGATAATAATAACAAATGCAACAAAAAAAAAAGAATCAGATTTTTTTTCTATGATAAGCGAGTGTGTGTGTTTGTTTGTTTTTCCAGCAACAAACGGTTGCTATCATTTCAAGATACAAAAGATCATTTAGCGTTTTTTTTTTTTTTTGCTCTTTTTTCCATTCATTATCTATTATAGAGAAAATATATATAAAGACCATTATCATCATCATTAGATCATCATTGAATTGAATTTTAATGATTTTTGATGGTGTCTGAATGTCCATTTGGTATTTGTTTTGTTGATGCTTAAAATGGTAACGACAATAATGATTTGATTTCCAAAATTGACATCCTAATGGATTAGATGAATGAATTGATTAATGTGTCGGTGTGTGTGTGTGTGTGTATGTGCGTGTGAATAATAAATTCAGACATTAAAAAAAAACAATTTTAATGGTAGCCAGGTAATGGGGACAATTTCAAGAAGAAAAAAAATCATGTTTGTAACTTCTATATATTCTTATTTTATTATTCAAATGTCAAAATTGATATCAATTCATTGTATTACAAGGTCAGGTTTCGTTTCATTAAATGCTTATTGATAATGATGAATGATAATGAAACTAACTAGTGCTACTGTGATACTTTCGGAAATCAAAATCATCTATCAATCAAAATACATCACTATTTTTTTTTTACTATCGTTTCAAATGTCGATTTTGATCTTCATCGTTATTCTTGATATTTTGTTATTTGAATTACTTTTTTTTAAACAAACAAAAGCGAAAAAAAACCACGTTCAAATCCATTAATTTTTTGTCGTGAAAAGGAAAATAAACTGTATTCATGTAACACGTGTTTGAATAATTGTAAATACATGAATTTCGATTACATTCATTCATTCATTATTATTATCATTATTAAACATAGTCAATCGATCAATCAGCTCTTTTGTTACACATCGTTTCAATACAAATACATAATGATGATGATGGTGATCAAATTTGTTCATCATTTTTTATTATGTCTCGGCTACTACTATGGTGATCAGAAAAAAAATTGAACAAAACTAAATCATATATATTGTACCAGTTAGTGAAGTAACAATCATTCAAAAGGCGTACATTCATTATATTTGTTTCGTATACAATGATGGAATGAAGTAGAAAAAAAAATGGAAAAAAATTTATCCTGTATTCAAATCCATTATTTTGGGATGATTTTGTGCATCAGTAATCATCGATGTGATTTCGATGATTTTTTTTTCTCTCGCCCAAACTGTTATAATTAAATTTCCACGAATATAGGTAATTTCAGGCAGGATTATTGTCTCTGTATATGTGTATGTGTGTGTGTTGTATTTGTGCGTGCAAGTTTGATTTTGATTTTTTTTCCATTTGGATTATAATCACGATGATGATAAAGGTTTTTGAATTCAAAATTATCAGACTGATTATGATTATTGTTGTAGCCATTTTTTTTCGGGTGATGTGTGATTTCATCGAATTTTATTGATTCTAATAGTTGAATACGGTTGAATGAATCTAATTTGAAACGAAAAATTACTAAATAGTCATTATTTGTAACAAATGGCTGATTAATGAATGATTCAAAAAATAAATATGGAAAAAAATCAATAAGGGCCAGGTGATCTACAATATAAAGTTTTTTCCAGTGAACAAAACTGATGACGCGGCGGGTGATGATGATGATGATTTGGATAGTTTCGGCCTTTTACAGACAAATCGATTTTGAATCGATTAAAATCTGATCAGACTAATCAAGTTGAACTATATACAAACAAACACACGTACACACACTCATAAATACACTTGAAACATCCATTTATTTAGACACTTGATGATGATGATGATGATGGTGGTGGTGATGGTGGTGATTATTGAACATCACAGCAGCCAGCAGCAGGCAATTTCCGTGTTTGATCTGATTTTGATTTTTTTTTCACCATTCATACCATGCAGTGGCAATGTTTTTTTTCAAGAAAAAAACAAAAAACGTGCTTAGTATGATATACACAAAAAAATAAGATTTAATCGTATTGGATCATTTATTCATCTCCACTAGTTAGATGATGTTATCTGTTTGATTCATATAGATATTATTTGGCCAACAGAATTTAAGATTGTATCGTAAAGATAAAAAAATGTCATAAAAATTCATTCGAATCAAATCGATTGATATTATACACTCACTGTTGTAGGATAAGGTCAAAATAATGTTAATAAATCACATTTAAACTATCAATAGGAAATTGAATGGATTTGTTTTTTGCAATTTGACATATATATGATGATGTCGTGTATATTTAGTACATCGATCAATCTTAAATTAATTTATGATGAAACAAATATCACTGTTAACCGTTGTTATTATTGACAGGAAGAAGAGTTACAGTTGTCCGACAGGTCCTTATAGAGTAGCATTGGTTTGTTTGTTTGTTTTACATCAAGATATTTGTTTCCTTCTATGGTCAAAAAGATCTTGATTTTGTTCCATGACATTTAGACAGTCATGACCGCACATATGATTTGGCAATATAATTTTTCAAAAAAAAAAAATAAAAAAATAAAAAGTAAATCCGTGTCCGCGTATCTCTATGTTCATCATCATCATCAACATCATCATTCGGATTATTTAATGTATTCAACTTCCCTTTCAATCGGTAAAAAAAAATCGAAAATTTTTCGTTTCCATTGCTTCGATGTCTTCGGTCACTACCCGAAAAAAATAAACAAAAATATTTACAATATAAATACACGTAAGTCTCTTATTATTTTGAAAAAACAAGTAAATTTGTATCATCATTATCACTATATAGTGGAAAGAAAAGAAAAATTTCAAGCTACTCGACTCTGAAAATGAAAAAAAAATTGATTAATTCAATTTCCGTTCAGTTTAGTTGAACACTTTTTTTTTTTTTTTTAATTTAACTTTTCCACTCATTTCGATTATTACCACTATCTGTTTTCCTTATATGATCAGCTGGTCATATAAAAGTTCAACGTTTGAAAGTAAATTTTGATTCATTTTTGAAATTTTTTTTTGTTTCGCGTCTTATAGCACGAGACAATTTGAATCAAAAAAAAAATAAACAACATATATTTGAATTTGAATTTGTTTTCAAAATCAACAACTTCTTGACAACCAAGCATATATAGATTATTATTAATGAATTAACATTCACATGCCATCACAATGTCGTCATCATCATCATCAAAATGGTTCATTGTTTCATTTGTTGTTGGATCTTGTTGTTTAATCAATACCATAAATGCTAATCCATATGGTTATGGTTACAGTGGTTAGTGTTGTCTCTGTTGTTGTGCATATACATACATCAAATAATAATAATGCAAATACAATGTTTCATTTGATGTCTTTATTGTTTTAATTTTTTTTTCTTTTTTTCTCGTTTCATTTTCGTTTTCGTTTTCCAATTTATTTATTTATTCAAAATATAAATAATAATAGCTCCAACCATAAAACAAAGTAAGTCACGCCTAATTCATTATTATTCTGTTTATTGACATCCAATCATTATGTTTATAGCTGCTTTACAACTTGAAGCAAGTGTTGAAATTGAAAAACCAGCTGGCCCACCAAAACCACCTGATTATGAAGGTAAACATCAATTTTTGTCTATTTTGATTTATTCAATAAATAAATTTTAAATAATTTCAGGTGGACCAAGAATTGAATTAAATGTTCCGAAACCAATGTACGCACCAATGCCAATGTACCCACCAAAGCCAATGTACGCACCAAAGCCAATGTATCCAATGAAACCAAGTGGTTATGGTCCGAAAAAATATGCTGCACCAAGCTATTATAAACTTCCTTCGACCGGTGTTCCCTATTATGAAACAACAACAAAAAAAGCTCCATACAAAAGTTCTTCAAGTAATAAATTAATGTATGCCCCAAATGGAAACATTGCTGAAACTCATTATCATGGATCGTCGGATTATGATCAACAACAATATTCATATCCACAAGATTATTATGGTTATAATCATGATCAATATGATCATTCAGCCGAATATCATCCATATTCATCACCAAATGAACGAGAAACTTACACACAAAGTGTCCAGGAACCACAACAACATGTTAATCATCGAGTTATTTATCTACCTGCCGATGCTGATTCTGAATCAGTATATCAAGCACCACCAGCACCATCAACTGATTACTCTGAATATTCATCATCTGGAAAATTACCAGAAAGTTCTTCTGAACCAGTATACGATCCTCGAACATCAATGTATCATAAAATTTCACAAATTTCTTCTGATACTAATCGACCAATAGGTAAAGATCTTTCCGTTTCTCGACATGAAAATTATGGCACTGTCATTAATATTCCTGCTGCCTCGGAACACATGATGACATTTATGAAACCGGATACTGATGGATACCATATGATGGAAAGCCATCGGTACAGCCAATCTGCTGCCCCGGAAATTGAACTGAGTAAGATCGTGACTGTTAATAAACCAATGTTTAAAAATCTATTGTCAAAACAGTATGAACAGCCAAGGATAAAGCAACAACAATCGAAAAAGTCGACCAGAACACCATACGAAATACAAATTGGAACTATGGCAGGAACGAATAATCTATTGCAGATGCCCATTACAACTTTATCCCTTGATAACATGATGATGAGCTATCCATCGAGTGTTGAACCAGAATATTTTAAAAACTATCAATTTCCATTGGACTATTTGAACGATTCATCATCATTCGATACAAATGAAGACGTTCAATATGTTTTAGTACCAATCAATAATGATCTATTCAATACTAAAGCCAATTATTAATTCACAATTGATCATTCTATTGTATTTTTTATCTCATCTTATATATCAACATAATTTTCATATTTCATAATTTTTTTTTCATATACTCATTTAGTTTGTGTTATTAGCATTTGTTTTTTTTGTAATAAAAATAGTGAAAAAATATTAGATTTCAAAAAAAAAAAAAATCAATAGTGCCATTTGTAAACAATAGTGCCATCTATTGCATAAAAAATTAAGAATTAATTTATGATTCTTGTACATAGATGGCAATAGTGCATTCATGACGTATAATTTTTTTTGAAAGTTTTTTTTTCACATGATGATCCGTATCAATTGTTGATAATTTCGTTACATTCTATTATTCGAACACATAAGATCTTCTTCAACTTCACTTTTACCGGTACGTACGAGTAAAGGAATATTCAATTTTTTTTTTTTTTTTAAAGAAAGAAAATCAACTTTTATTTTATTATTCAATTGATTTTTGTTGATACATTGATTGTTTGTTTCACTAGAAAAAAAAATTTGATGAATAAAAAGAAAGCTAGTATTACAAAAAAAAATGACGAAAAAAAAGATGAAAATGATTTACGAATGATTTATAAATTCGTATCAATCAATAATCAATAGACAATTCAATTATCGTATCGATTATTGTTGTTGTTGTTGAATGGTTTTGCATTTTTTTTTTTTTTGGCAATTTCGAATTATAATTATATATTATTATACACAAGAATGAAAGATATAGATTTGGCGCGTGATACTGTTTCTGTTATGCATTTGTTATGTGTTTCTTCTATGATATAAAAAAAATTGTGAATTTTTGCATTTATTATTATTCCATTATTACATTATATAAATGGTTATTGTAGTGAAAACAAATGATTTGTCATTGTTTTTTGTTGTTTTTGGCACAAATTAATAATCAATCAATCAATCAATTAATGAGAAATGATTTGATTGATTTTGGTATATTGATAAATTATGCAATTATCTTCATGAATTGTACTTTTGTGTATTTGTGTTTTGTCATTTGAATTTGTACGATCTATTTGTTTGTTCATTTCATTTCATTTTTTTTATATATTACAGAATATTTTGTCCATTTTTTTTTTCTTGTGTATATGATTGTTGATCGAATGATTTTTTTGTTTTGTTTTGTTTGGTCTCTCATGTATGTTTCATCATGATGATGAAAAGATGGAACAAAAATCTATGTTACACGTATCGGATCTAGTCAACATAAATTTCATATATACATAGATTCATGTGTGTGTTTGTGTCTGTGTGTAAATTTTTCTATCGATGATTGAATGGATAGAAGAGGAAATAAAAATCAGAAAAAAAAGAATAAATAAATTACATAATGATTAATATGAAGAAAGGTATATTATGTATTATGTCGAATGAATTGAATATGACGATAGAGATAGAGATGATACTGTATGAATTATAGTAAACGAGAGAGCGAAAAAAAAATTCCTTTATTAATGTTGAATGGATATATTATTATTAATATATGCAGGAGACAAAGAGTGGAGGGGCGAAACAAAAAACACATGGGTAGAATTTTGTCATCCTAAATTAGTATCATCTCCATATCATCATCATTACCACCAATTACAATCATAAAAAAAACAGTCATCATGACTGGTAATTGACTACAGCTAATGGAAAAAAAGGAAAAAAAGAAGAAGAAAATCCTGAGATTGACACAAACAAATGCACACACAGGTACAAAATAAGATAGAAATGGATTTTTTTTTCTCCTATAAATCTCTTATCGTAAATGAGTGAATAAATGTGGCTTGATTTGAGAAAAAAAAGCAATGAGCCAGAAAAAAAGAGATAAAGCCGAATGATGAGAGAAAAGGAGAACGGAACAAGAAATAAATGATTGATTGTGAATTATATAAAAACGATTAAAAACCACAAACGATAATATGAAATTTTTCAAGAAAAAAAAACACGAAGAGATTCGAAAAAAGATTTGTGTCCAATAATAATAATAATAATAATAATTAGATGTGTCACCATCACACAAAAAAAATATATATATAAACTACAGATTTATAAAAATGGTGGATGTTTGACATACATGATGATGATGATGATGATGAAAAAAAAATGCAAAATGATTTAGATGGTTCAATTGGTTTTTCTAATTTGAATTCTCTAGTTATTTGTGTTTTAGTATCACTAAGATGCTTGTCCATGAGTGTGTGTGTGTGTGTGTGTGCGAAAAGATTTGTGTTTTTAATATTCGTCAAGAAAAAAAAACAAATGTTCTGGATTTCGATTTATCTATCCATATATTATATATTGTCGTTTGTCCAGTAGTTTTATATGTGATGATTCTTTTCTCAGGTGGCCGTCAATATACATACATACATATACAAAATGATGAATGTGAATTTTGTATTATGAACACTTATGAACATAATCGAATGGCACTGTATATACGATGATGATAATGGACGCCATAATGTCATGTCAATTCAATGAACTTTTTATTTTTATTTTTTGTACCCATTTCGAAAGAGGATCGATCAAAGTGAAAAAAAAAATTTTTTTTTTTGATAACTTGTTTGTACGCATAGATAATTTCTGTGATTGTTGTGTGTTTATGATTATGCTCGGCGAATGAATTTTTATTTTAGAGAAAATTAAAATGAAATTTCTTCTTAATGAGAAGCCAATGGAGAATAATTGATGATGATGATGATGATGATGATGACGATGATGTCGTACTATTTAAGCTCATTGGTATGTGTATGATGATCAATGGTGATGTGATAATGATTTTTTCTTTGTTGGATGATGAATAATAAATGAAAATGAGAGAGAGAAAGATAGAATTCTTCATAGTTTTTTTCTGATAGATTAATTTGTGATTATGGAATCAAATGATGATGAGATTAATAATTAGTGGAAAGTAACGATGATATTGTTGTTGTATTAATGGTGAAAAAGATATGTTTAGACAAAAAGAAGAAACGTTGGCCATCTATACAAAATGGTAATAATGATTTTATGTACATAAAAATCATTCTGATTGTGATAAAAGTTTCCAAACTAGATTTTATCGATTTATTTTTATCATTATTATACAGTAATACCCCGCTTAACGCTGCCCCGTTTAGCGCTGATTCGATATAACGCTGTACAATTACCCTACATTACATTACATTGTTACGTTGTATATGAAGGGTAAAAATGCATTATGTAAAAATAGCCCCGCTTAACGCTGTTTCGCTTAACGCTCAGAATTTTTGGAACGTAACCCCGCGTTAAGCGGGGTATTACTGTATTATATTCTTAGTCATCAACATTGGCCATTTGATTGGATGAAGTGGAACGTCCTGATTCTGAATCCAAATCAAAATCTTCATCTCTTCCCATATTGCTTGAATCATCTGAATGGTATGAATCCGATTGGAAAGACATTTGTGATGTGTTGACATTTTGAGGATCATTTAATATTGAATGCATTACAGCTGCGGCTGCAGATGCAACTGCACTTGAATCAACATTTTCCAAACCGGACATTAAATTAGGATTCATTTCTTGATTATCATTTGAATCTTTGTACCTGTCATATAAAATAGAGTGGATAAATATCATGACATTACACAAATTAGATTGATTTTTTAAAAAAAGGTTAAATGGATTTTGGTGGAGATAAATTAATATGATATGATATATATTACATACCATATTCCACGCATTTCGGCTCGACGATTTTTCATCAACTGTTTATATTCAGAAATACGAAGTTTTTTACCATCAACTATACATGTACGTTTCGGTCTAGGCCTGTACCTATAATCCGGATGTTGTTCCATATGTACTTTGGAAAGACGTGATTGTTCTTCATAGTATGGTTGTTTTTCCGAATTGGTCATTGCTTTCCATCGTGCACCTGAATGATTAATGAATAATATTCAATTAATAAAAAAAAATTATCAGCAAAAAAAAATAATTTTATAGAAAAATGTTATCGGATAATCAACTTACCCAAAATTTTTGAGATATTTGAATTATGCATATCTGGACATGCTTTTAAAATTTTTCTTCTTTCATCTTTTGCCCACACCATGAATGCATTCATTGGCCGTTTCACATGAGGTTTGCCTTCACCATCTTTTTTAACTTGTCGAATAATTTTGGCTCCAAGTAATTTACCTGTTTGATTTTGGAAAAAAAATGAGTACAAAAACACAACAAAAGATTAAAAAATTGTCTGTGTTGTGTTTTTTTGAAAACTTACTTTGACATGTTACAATTGATTCGTTTTTATTAGAATTATTGACTGAACTATTTGAATGGGATGCTTTCGTACGAATACTGGTTGGACTGAATGTCGGATCGTTTGAATCTTTTTTATTAGAATGACGATTTGTTGTTGAGTGGTGATCTTTTGTTTGGAAATTATCCGAATGATTAGCCGCATTGTTTTGAGCACCGGGAAGATAGAGATTGATTGCATCATTTATGGACGATGGATTTGGAGAACTGGAAGTGTTACGGCTATTTGTTACTGGATTGACTGAACAATGTAATTGATTGTTGAACATTGATTCCATTGAACCAGTGGGTGAAAATGGAAGCTGTCCAAACGTTGATGGATTAAGCAGACCAGGCAAAAGATTTTTGTCTCGTAAATGTTGAACAAATGATGATGATGGAAGTAATGATGAGAGATTCGGTTGATTTGTAATGATTTGAGCATTTTGTTGTGATTGATTATTTGATGACGAAGATTGTTGTTGTTGTTGTTGTTGTTGCTGTTGATGACTTGAAAATTGTGCTAAAGCATTCCAATAATTTCCAGTGATGAAAGCCTGTAATGATTGCTGATCGGTATGAGGTAGTGATGGAAACGCCGATATCGGTGATGATGGTGTATGTGTCGTTGAATTTGTTGTTGATGATGGAGAGCTAATCACTGGCCTACATGATGCATTATTGCCCGATCCTCCACCAAATGATCCTCGATGATGTATGTCTAAATGATGTTTGATGTGAGAAACAATCATCAATCAATAAATCATATCAAATAATCATTAATAATATTGTCGTTACCATGTTTGAAAGTTTCATTTGAGCCATTATTGGATGACGATTTAGGTTTACTTAAATTCAAAGGAGTTGATGTTGTCTCATTGTTCGTTGATGTTTCGTCTCCTTTTGTTAATCTATATAATCATTCAAATGTAATGTATATGAAGAGTTAGTTATTGAAAAAAAAATCATATGATAATAAACTCACTTGTTGCTATTGCTATTTGTACTTTTCATTGGAGGACTATTGGCCGCTGGAACAGAAGATTGAGTCATTGAAAATATTGGATTATCTGATTCATTAGTATTGGATACTTGAGCCGCTGCAGCAGCAGCTAATGCAGCGGCGGCTAATGGATTTGTTGAATTTGCCAATGAATTTCCATTTAGGAATGGCGTATTGTTGATGAATGGTGATAAACCATTAAGATTGAATAACATTAATTGAGCAGCAGCCGCTGATGGTGGTAATGCTGCTGCGGAAGCGGCTGCCATAGCAGCTGTTGCCTGACAAATGTTTGGTAATGCTGCCGATTGAAGATAATGACTATTGATACGTTGCTATACAAAAGAATTTTCAAATAAAAAAAATGGAAAAGGAGAAAAAAAATTAATTACTATATTTATAGCAAAGGAAAAAATGTAGTCGAATAAAATACCTGAAGATCGGTTATTTTTTGTTGTTGAGTTTCCAGGATATTGTTGTTGGTTTGTTCCTTTTGTTTTTTATTATCACCACCACTGTTATTAGCCATATCATCTTCAGGTGTCTGTGGTCAAATGATAATGAAAAAAGATTAGTTTCATCTCAAAAAAAAAATCCAATATGAACAGTGGCAACTACATTACACTATAGAGAATCTACTTGCTCAAACAATAATCATAATTTAAAGGATCAATGAATTCTAGAGAAAAAAAAAAATTAGAATTCTTGATTGTCGGCATATTAATTGTCAGTGTATGAATTTTTTTTCAATTTAAATGAACGAGTCTTTGCTTTTTTTTCACTGAAATATAATAATAATTTATTTTACAGGAAAAGCATTCGACTTTTTTTTTTTTTTTTTTTGGTTGATCAACATCATCAGTAGCAACAACTGACAAAGATATCAAATAAATTATCAGAATAACGAGGCTAAAATTTTTTTTTATGTTTAGCTTCGTTTCATTCATTCATTCATTCATTCATTCATTCATTTATTCATTCATTCATATATTTTATTCATTAAAGCTCGTATATGATCGTACTTTCTTATGGAAAACACTTTAGCAGTGATTTAAGTCGATTTGTCACAGAAAAAAATCACACCACCAATGGGGATTTAGTTTTAGGCCATATATACAACATATATATATTCATCAGATAGATAGATGTTGTGTAGCTGTAAAAGACAGTTTAATTTTGTTGAAAAATAAAGTTTATTCATTTTACTATAATTCAACATACAAACACACACACACACACACACACACACACGCCTGCAGAGTTTGAATGGAAAAGAACAAAGTGTCAAGCAGTAAATTACAACCAACTTAACGATTATGATGATTTTGGATTTCATTTAGTAAAAGAGAGAGAGAGAGAGAGAGAGAGAGAAGAATATCAAATAAATGTCGAAAAAGAACATGACAGTTTTGTTCGATTCAATTCAAATGGATCTCTAAAAATTGTCTTCATGATGTCTTGAGTCTCACCCATTTTCACTGGAAATTTAATAATTCTTTATTATTATTTCGGGTAAAAATTTGAATTGAATTTGTAGTAAATTTTAATAGTGATCGTCACACCATTATGATCGACAATGAAAAGAGGTTTCTTTAGATCGTATTTTTTCTCTCTCTCTTCTCTCTCTCTCTCTTTTCAAGAATGTGTACAGAACAAAACTCATATATATTCACAGACACAGGCAGGCTCAATAATTAGGCATGATGCCACACAATTTTTTCTTTTCTCATATATATGAAACATTCAATGAATTTGTAGCTTTATTCATAACAATGTGAGCAAATGTGTGTGTTTGTTTGATTCGCATTATTCGGTTTTGTTTTAAATGTGAAAAAAAAGCAAAGGCAAAAAAAATTATTATTATTTTTTTTTCTTGCTTTTAAAAATCGACCAACCCAAATTTTTCAATTCTTAACAAACGACATGTACATTTGTATAGACTGACAAATGAGAATGAATAAACAAATAAACAAACAGGCAAGAATAACAAAAAAAAAGAAGAAGAAGAATACAGAATACATATTCTCTTCATTATTATTATTATTATTATTAGAAAGAATGAAAATGGCATGAAAGAATAAAATGCAAAACAAAACAAAGAATGAAAAAAAATAACACTATTCTTGATTGACTAATATATTCTGAAGACGAAAAAAAAAATACTATAGCAGGATTCATATAATGGAAATTCTAACGTTTGACTGGTATATGGCTATATGGGCTCCATAAATCAGTCAACATATATACTATATATAATGTACTCAGCTAAAACAAAATTCAAAAAAAGCATTATGAAATGATAAAAAAAAAAATCTAAATTGAACACAGCACATACAATTAGCATTTTTTTTTTTTTTTTTTTGAAATGTATCGATGATTCTTGTCAGAATCGTCAAGAAACAAAAAAAAATGGAGAAAAGAATCCGTTTAATTAGAATTAATTCTTTCAATTATGAATGAATCGCAGTGTGTGTGTGTGTGTGTGTTTTCAAATATTTTTTTTTTTACTTTAGAATTTCAATGATGAAGATAGAGTATAGAGTATTTAAAACAAGGAAATCAATCTAGAATGGGCGCGGATATCCTTCTCACTAGTGTGTTTTGTTAATTTCATCATATGAACAAAATGGTGGTGGTCGTGTATTGTTGTTGTTGTTGTTGTTGTTAACAATAACAATAATAATAAAAAAATGTGAAAGGCGGCACATTTTTTTCTTTTCTATTTGGGCCAGCCAAACTAAACATTATTATATTTTCAACACATTCAATGTGGTCGTGGCATGGCGTTGGTTGGTTGGTTGGTTGATTGATTGTCTTGATTGTCTGTGTGTGTGTGTGCGTTTTTTTTCTCGCTATTGTATTATCATCATTATTCATTCAATTCAATGGGGCTATATAACAATGGACTAACCATATACAATACACAATAGAATTTTTTTTTTTTCGAGGATGTGTAAAGAAACAAGTTTGATGATGATGATATATGTGTATACTGTATCTGCGCGCACATATTTGGATTCACAATAGATTTTGGAGTTGGTTGACTGTATAACACATTTGATGTGTGTGTATTGTATTGAATGTAAAAAAAGGCGTGATGATGGCGACAAATAATAAAAAGCTAACCTAACAACAATCGACAAAATACACAATAGGCAAAAAAAAAAAACTATCACTATAAATAAATGATAAATGATAATAATCAACTTACCAATGGTTGTTGATGTTGTTGTTGATTAACTAATTTTGATCGAAACATTTTCAATTGATCAATTAATGAAGATAATTGTTGTTCAGCTTCCATTACATTTAGATTTCCATCATTATTCGATGCTGTTAAACCGGGTATTAGATTAAGGTTAATAGCGAATGGAAAATCTGTCGCAGATCCTTGCTGTTGTTGTTGTTGTTGTGAAATCGATCTAGATGAAGATTTGACATTACTAGTTGGGGTGGTTGAAATATCGTTACGTGTACCACAACTACTACCACCATTTATTGATAATAAACGTTGTTGTTGTTGCTGTTTTTGTTGAAGATCAATCACTGAATCACCATCTTCACTTTTAACTGATTTAGAATCTGAATCATTTTGATTATTCACTTTATTCAAACGTTTTAACACTTCATCCATAGTTGATCTTTTATTTGCACGATCTTTATTCTCATTACGTCTTGATAGATTGCCATTGCCCATCTTACGATTATGATGTGAATGATGATGATGATGATGATGATGATGATGATGTGGATAATTATGATGATGACTTATATTAGTTGATTTACTATATTGTGTTGAAGGTATTTGGTCCGTTAGACTGTTTTTGAGATCGTCGCTTGATAGATTTCCATTATGTTGTATTGATGAAGATGATTTAAATCGTTTACGGGATGATGTTGATGATGATGATGATTTGGTTGATGTTAATTTTGTCATATTTTCATTCATTTCCTCTTCATCATCGCCTTCATTACTATCGGTATCCTGTACCGAATCATTTCCATTATTGCCCATAGTATCATTACCATCAGTTAGGGCATTATTATCATCTCCATCACCACGTCCACTACTACCACCACCATCACGATCATTAACAATATCATCATCATCATCATCATCATCATCATCGTCAACATCACCATCATCATCATCAGCATCAAATTCTTCATCACTACGAAAACGTTTCCGTCGTGAAACATATGTCAAATCTTCCATCGTAGCTTTATATGTATTTGTTGAATTTGATGATTTGCTGATATTTGATTCACGAGTATGATGATGATGATGATGATTGTGATGTTGAGATGTTTGTGAATGTTGAGTGATTGGTTGTTCAGAATCGGAATCGCCTTCAACGCCTTCGTCACTTAATGTGGTTACATTGGCCAATGCCATTCTGTTTGATGTTGTGGATAATGCTCGTCGATGTGTCGATACGTCGGCAAATAAATGATGATGATGATGATGTGGTGGTGGTATTGGTGGCTGTATGTTCATGCCAAATATCATTAGGAATTTTTATTTTGAAAATTTGAGGCAAATTTGACTACTACAAATTGAATAAAGACACACACTGATTAATACACTGAGATAAAAACACAGAATGAGATGATGATGAACCAGAATCACTAGAAAATTGTTCAGCTATCGTTATTATATATTTATTTGTGAATTATGATGAATCAGTGAAACAGAAATCAGGATGGTGCGTTGTTTTGTTTGTTGTCAAAATTCTGCATTTGTAGTTCTTGAATTCGTCAAAATTAATAATTAATAATGGAAAGTGAATAAAATAGAAAAAAAAATAAATTTGTTAGCTATATATTATCATTAAATGACTATATAAATTCATATATATATTATGAGTATAAAAAGATGTCACTGTGTAAAATGACGTCAAATTTGAAAGGAACATTGAATGTTATCATTAGATATCACTCACACACACACACACACAGATATATAAACACCATTATTCAATGATCAAATCAATAATGTTGGTGTATCGATAATCAATCCAAGTGTTGATGTTGATAATGATGGCGATAAATGATGATGATGATGATGAATATAATGATAATTAATAAACTTCGCATACCAGTTTTGATAAACAAAACAAAAAAAAAAAAAATGAACGAAAGACAATAACGAAATACCTAGGCCATTAAAATTCAAGTTGACAAATGGTTGATGGTACATGTACAACTTCAGAAATCATCATCAACATCATCATTATTCGATGACTGTGTGTCGTTCGTCGAAGCTAATATGTTCATGCAACGACGATTCGATTCATTACAATGAATTAAATGATTAGCATCATTTTTTTTGATCGATCAAATTGAATGTTTTTATTATAGCAGCAGATAAACTATGATCATGTCAGGAGTGGTAATAAGTAGAAGTAAGTAATTTTTTTTTCTTTTTCCAACATTTTATGATTCCAACAACAAAATTTCATTACTATATAGTCAACTTATTGTGTTTAGCTTTCATTTTCATTTTCAATTCCTTAATCATTCATTTTATCATCATCATCATCATCATTATCATCCATTCGTCATTTTTTCTTTCGTTGTTAATTGCAAGTTAATAGCAATGATGATGATGATGATGATGATGATAACCAATAACAATAATTTAACCAAAATAGATAAATAGATGGATGGATGGTCACATACTGAGAAGGTTTCATAACCATCATCATCATTATCTTTATATCAACATTGAACATTGTTTTTGGCTGATGAGACATCGATATTTTAGGCATTCCACAATTCAAGAACAAATGTTAATGTCAATATCAATCAAACATTGAACATTAAATATAAAAAATACAGACATACCAGAAAAAATTTTAACCCTTCATTCTTCTAACCAAAAAAAAAAAATCAACATGATGAAATTGATGGAATTTTTTTCTATCTATAATAGATTCATGAATAATTAAAATTGCATCATCACTGAGAATACATACAGATGTTAGAAAAATGATCTGCATCTGGCTTTGAATGAAAACAACAGTGGTGGAAAAAATGATGATGATGATGATGATCAATGATCATCACCATCATTGACATTATTGTTTCATTTTATTCATTCAATTTTTTTTCTTCTTATTTGTTTTTGTTCATCAGTTCATATTATCATTATTTTTTTTTTTTTTTTTGAAAAATAAATGAAAATGTCCTCGTAAACAATTCGATACAGTAAATAATGATAATCAATTGATTGTGAACAAAAAAAAAATGAAATAAACAAACAACAAACACACCACGTTATCATCGTTGAAAAATAATTTTCCCTTGATAAAAATTGATTCAAATATATTGATGATAAAGGAAAAATTGTTGATGGAAATCATAAATGAAGAAAAAAAATGATGAATAACAAACGAAAAAAAAAAATAAAAGGCGGAATGAATGGTATTTGTCTCGTGTTTTCATTGTCAATCATCATCCATCCATCCATCGGATCAAGTCATCATTTTCCGAAAAAAGCGTTATGATGATGAAAACAAATGTGGCACATACACACACACACATATATATATATGAGTAACAATACAATCGATTAATTTGCAATCTAAATACAATCCGAATTGATTATTAGGTACAAATGTGAATACTCATCGATGAATCAACAAGTGTTCCAATTTTTTTTTTTTTTTTGCTGGCTGAACTATGAAACTACATGGTTTCGTTTTTCATTGTGTGAAATTTATAATGAATGATGATGATGATGATGATGATGATTTTTTTTTCGGAATGATTGATTTGAAAAATAATAATGGTGACACACATATATGAAAAAAAAACAAAAAATTTTTTTTTTTCCATTTACTTCATCATTTCTGGTTGTATGGATAAAAATAGATTGTTTTCAACAACAGAAAAAAAACTGTCAAATATGAATGAAAAGAAGAAAAAGAAAAAATTCACACAAAATGTGACTTACACCAATTATGATTATTATTAATAATATATAATATCGGTTGGTTTCATGAAATGATACAAGCGGTAGGTTAACTTATCAAAATAAAAAAAAAAAACATGAATATTTTGTTTTTTATATGGAATTGAAACAATGAAAAATTTGATGATTACAACAATAACCACTACAACAACAACAACAACAACAACAACAACAACAAAACGACGACGACGACAATAACACTAAGAAACAAACGCATATTATTCAAACAATAATTATTCAAATGCACAAAGTTTTGTATGGAAAAAAAAGTCATCATCATCATCAACATGGCAACAACAGAAGCCAGGCTCAATATATAATGATAATCAACATCATAAAATGAATCTAATTAACCATTGTAACATGATGAAGCAGCAGCAGATGTAAAAAAAAAGAAACAAAAAGAATGATGATTTCAAATACTACAAAAAAAAAAATTTATTGTGAATGTAAAATAATTTTTTGTTTTTGTTTTTGTTGTTGTTTTTGTTGTTGTTGTTGTTGCTGCTGCTGTTTTTTTTTCGTTTGTTCACAAAACCACAATGAACACTATAAATACAAATGATGATGATGATGATGATCGGCATTTTTTCCATCATTTCGATTCGGTTTTTTTTTTTTTCAATGAAATGAAATGAAATCCAGAAGATGCGTAAATGATGATGATGATGATCTTATTTCCTTTAAATTTTTTTTTTGCTCTTCTTTTTTAAAACTTCAAAAGTGATGATGCTAATGGTGATTGAATCCACACACACACACACACACACACAGACATCAAGAAAAAGAAAAGAAGAATGAACCGTAATGAATGAATCAATGCAGCAAATCAAGAAAAAAACCAACAAACAAACAAATATGCAAGTAAACAAACAAACAAACAAACAAACAAAATGAAGAAAAAAAAACACTGATAAATCTATAAATAGACAATAATTTATCTTGAAAGATTTATGAGTGAAAGGCGATGAAGATGATGTGGAAGAAAAAAAAATCAAAGAGAAAAATAAAATAAAAAAATTTTCCAAGATTTTTTTTTTTCGTTCAAGTTTTCCCTTTTTCATCTGTTTTCTTCGACAACAGCTCATTTTAACACTTACAACAACACTGTAAAACACAAAAGAAACACTAACTAAATCTCAACTAACCCAACGAACGCACACACAGAGTTCAATTCATTTCATTCATTCATTCAAAAACAACAGTAAGCCGAGAAAATTAAAAAAAACCATGTGTATAAGGCTATAATCGAAAAAAAATTGGTTCATTTAATCAAAGTTCCCACAAAACCATCGAAAAAGAAAAACCATGATGATGACCAATACAGTAAACATCGTTCAATCTAAACTCATTATTATTGTTCATCATGTGTGTGTGTCACTGATTTTCAAGTTTTTTTTTGGTGGATAAAAAAAATGTCCAATTAAACCAACGAACAAGAAGCTATGGATAATTGCTATGCAATACAAGATTGATAATACCACGGAGAATGGTTATATGGTATGGTATAGATATAATCAAGAAAGAACTTTATACACACACACACACACAAAGTTATAATAATAAAAGATGTGATCGAATCGGTTTTTTTTTGTTATGGCTACTGCTGTTTGTATAAATGAAACACACACACACACACACATTTCTCATTGTCCGACAAATATCTCTTCCTCTATCTAGAATCTATCCATTTCAGTAATATCAGTAACCGTAAATCATTGTAAAGATTACATAAAAAAAAAACAGAACGATTATTTTCCATCATGACAAACATTTGTATTTGTATTTGTATATATAGATAGATAAAATTTATACGTCTAAAAATGTTGATGATGATGATGACCAGTGGACAATTCCCGAAAAATTTTTTTTTTTTCATCACTATAGCTCTTCCTCCCGGTGTAATACACACAAACAAAAATGATGATGACGATAATGAATGTTGACGAGCAAAAAAAAAAAAAATTTTATGAAACATTCATTTATATAGGCATAAATTTCTGTCAATGATGATGATTTTTTTGTTTGTTTGTTTGTTTGTTTCCATGGAAAACATTATTTTTTGGGTGTCCATGATATGTATGTGTGACTAGAGATTGGTAATCAATTTTTTTGTTGTTATTTTTGAAAAGTAATTTTAACCACATTAAAACAAAAAAAAATCTTCTTAATCTTCCCCATACACATAAATACTGTTGTAACATGTATAGGAAGCTGAATTATTATTTTTTTTTCTAGAAAAAAAAATAAAATAATAAAGAAGAAGAATGCATCTAAATTTTCCAAAATGTAAATTCGCAACCTGTATGACATTTCATATGGATACACATATGTGTATATGATGAAACAGAAAATCAGTGGGATAGAATGTTTTTGTGTGTGTGTGTGTGTGTATGTATGTTATATTGTGGCATTCATATCCATACATCCAAATCAGACATTTTCATATCAAACTGAATGGTAAATTAAATTGTCATAAATTCATTGAAAATCTAGATTGAAAAAAAAAAAACTTTTTCTCTCTCTCTCTCTCTCTCTCTCTCTCTCTCTCTTCAAATGATAATGTCGATTGTGGAATGTATCGCAATTGATTATTTTGCGATAATGTGGTGTGTGTGTGTGTGTGTGTATGTGCAAAGTTATTTTCCAAGAACAAAAAATAATAAACGATGACACCTTGATCATCATTTATTCTCTCGATATTTAGACACACACACACACACATTAGGTTATAAACTTTATGTGATCATTTCACACCAAGGGAGCATCGAAAAAAAAGGAATAAAAATAAAAAATCTAAGGTGAACATATATATAGAGATATATATAGATAAATTAAGACAACTAGACAAATTGCAACAATAAAACACACACACACACACAAGACAAGTTGAATATAGACAGATATAGATAGATATATTTTATATAAAGTTCATTGAATCGTGCCACACAATGGTGTTCAATATGCAACCAAAAAAAAAAAAAAAAAAAAAAACAGCCATTATAATGATGATGAACAATACAAAAGATTTCAAGCAGAGTGATCTATTTTTTTCCATTCACAGTGTTAATATAATAATAATAATTCAAGATTGAAATAATGATGATCATTGAAAATGACGATGATTTTATTCATTTGTATTCTAATCAATATCTATTCGATTATTCGATTCAAAAAAAAGACGAAATGTAACGATAAATCCAAAATACTATCGACTGAATAATGATATGGTGATTGAATTTTTTTTTTCGTTTTGAAATCCAGTTCAACAACAACAACAACAACAACAAAAAATCATTTGATGGACATTGAATGAATAAACTTGATTTATCATTCAATGTATATGGGTATAATGAACCTATTGATGATATGAAAAACAGAGCGAAAGATTATGAAATAAATGTATTGTTGTTGTTGTTGTCATCTTTCGATGAGAAGATAATAAATTCTACATACACATAACATAAAGCATTGATTCATAGATTGACCAGATTGAAGTTTACTAAAAGCTAAATAACAACAACAACAACAACAACAACAAGAACAACAAAAAAAGCACAAGACAAAGACCTCTCTCTCTCTCACATCATCATCATCGATCGATGATCAGATGATTTGTATCGATTGAAACAATCATCAATGAAGATAAAGGCAAAGATGAAGACTATGTTGTTGATGTATACGGAATTATTAATCAATATATCGATGTTAAAGAATGGAAAATATGAAAAAAAGAAGAAGATAGAAACATCCAATCAACTTATCAATAAAAATAACAACAAGTTATCATCAACATGGTAATCATCATCATCATCATCATCATCGGATAATATGCATACAAAAAAAAATGAACAAGAACAATATTTTATTATTATACAATACAACTTGGCTACTGTCGACACCGATTAACAACGAAAACAACAACAACAACAACAACAAAAAGAAAAAGAAAGAAAATATTAAATATGAAAGATTATTAATTCGTTTAATTATCTGTAACATTATGTTAATCACAATTTGTCTGAAAGACTGATCTCAATTCTTTGATACGTACATATATATATACCTAACTGGCTGTTGTATGGAAAAATTATCGTAGAATGAAGCAAAAAAATCGAATCTGGATCAATCGATTTTTTTTTGGTTTTGTTTTCTCGATTATAAACTACAATAACAACAACAACAACATGATGATGATGATGAACAGAAGTAAACAATAAAAATGGAAATTCTGAATTTTTATTTTTTTTCCATTGAACAAGTAGAAAAAAAACACAGACAAGCCAATGATCTTATAATGATGATCATAATAAAGATAACAAAGAAAAAAAACATCATTTTAATGATCTTAAATGGCATGAATAGCAGAAAAAACAAAAACAAAACAAAACAAAAATCGAATAAAAAACAATGGAATAAAAAAAAAAAAAAAAATAAAGGGTTGAAGAATTTAAAATACACACACACACACACACACACAATTTTCAATGTTTTTTGGATCTGTTTTTTTTTGCATTCAAATCGATTTGATTATGAGATTTATTTTTTCCGTTGATGATCAATTAAGATGTTGTGAGTGGCTACATGAATTTCGACAAAACAAATGAATGAATATACATGTATATGTATCGAATTTGAGCGCTATTATTATCTTTCATTCGATGAAACAACAACAACGACGACAATAAAAACAAAGACTATGATGATGATGATGATGATAATAGTGATGTTAATGATCAAAGAAAAAAAAAAAATCAAGGGAAATTATTCTCTTTTTTTATAATGAACATATATATAATATTATTATTATGGCAATTCTTTCATCGTATTACAATATATGACAATAGATTAAAAATTTGGATGGATATATTAAAAGAAAAACATTGAATACAATCTCTATACTATTGATCGTTACTAATTAAAGCTTCGAAAGTTGCAATCATTATTTCTAATATATTGATGATGATGACGACGACGACGACGATGATGATGATGATGTTCGATAATCAGGAATTGTTGAAAGAAAAACACTGAGTAAAAAAAAAATACTAGACAATAGAAATAAGCCATAACAATCTAAATGTACACAACAAAACGATGATGATGATGATGATGATGATGATGATGGTCATGATCATCATCATCATGTCCATCAATCTTTAGGTTTTTTTTTGATCAATGATCAAGCTATCAATATATATATAATATATGAACAAATGAAACAAAACAAAATGTGTTCGGAAAACAATGAGAATAATAATATAATCGAAAATGAAAAGAAACGAAAGAAAAAAAAAATATATATACATACAAAACTATAAGTTTGCCTGAAGCTGGGTGGACGACCTGGATCAATCAATCGATGGATGAATGGATGGATGGATAGTCTTGTTATAGATGGATAACCAACTACTATATCATATACCAAGATACAAATAT